AGATCGAGGGACGTGATCATCCTCCTCTATTCGACATTGGTGAGGCCTCATCTGGAGTACTGTGTCCAGTTTTGGGCCCCACACTACAAGAAGGATGTGGATAAATTGGAGAGAGTCCAGCGAAGGGCAACAAAAATGATTAGGGATCTGGAACACATGACTTATGAGGAGAGGCTGAGGGAACTGGGATTGTTTAGTCTGCGGAAGAGAAGAATGAGGGGGGATTTGATAGCTGCTTTCAACTACCTGAGAGGTGGTTCCAGAGAGGATGGTTCTAGACTATTCTCAGTGGTAGAAGAGGACAGGACAAGGAGTAATGGTTTCAAGTTGCAGTGGGAGAGGTTTGGATATTAGGAAAAACTTTTTCACTAGGAGGGTGGTGAAACACTGGAATGTGTTGCCTAGGGAGGTGGTGGAATCTCCTTCCTTAGAAGTTTTTAAGGTCAGGCTTGACAAAGCCCTGGCTGGGATGATTTAATTGGGAATGGGTCCTGCTTTTGAGCAGGGGGTTGGACTAGATGACCTCCTGAGGTCCCTTCCAACCCTGATATTCTATGATTCTGTGATTCTATGATAGAGCAAATGTTGGGGTAAAAAGTGTATATTTCACTCAAACCTGTTTTCTTGCATAGGACTTGATCACTTGGAGGAAAGGCCCTTTATACAGTAGTAACTGAAAAATACATAAATGTAATTACACCCAACAGACTTACATTGAATGACAGCAATTCACTTAAAAACAGAGAATGTTTCCTCTTCCATGGTTCTGGCCCTTACAGGACTGCAGATAGAGAAACAGTTTAAAATGGTCTAAGCCTTTTGATCTTTGTCATTATTTAAAACCATTTAGAGGCTTTTGGGAGAAACCCCAAATTGCTGATGGAGTTAATATACTATTACCTGTCTATAGTCTCTCTTATGCGATAGACATAGATTAATACTTTATTTTACTGTAATCTTTCAGTAACTTCTAAGGATTTTGCTGTTAAAGTATTTATACAAAATTAAGATGCTGATTTTCAAAAGCACAAGTGGCAGTTAAGACCGGATCTGCCCCTACTTCCTGAAGAGTGGTTTTTCCAGCAAAAAATTCTAGTTTAAAATCAGCAATATTACAAAATTATTTTGACTTACCAGATGAAATCAAGGTGGCAACAATGACTGTTCTGACGATGAGCATCTTCGTCTGTATCACCAGAGTTGTGGTTTCAAGTGAAGGATCTAAAATACATTGCTTTCAATTTATGCACTCCAAAAGAGGTTGTTGTCTCATTTCCCAGCCAATCAGTCATTATCAGGGAAATTTAAGGAGCGTCAGTTATCTTGACTGGGAACAGAGCCTTTTCTCTCGTGGTGTCCCAGCAGGGCAGATAATAAACAGTGTGGCATCGCCTTTGGCAAAAGTACTTATGTGGTATAGGAGAATGCAATGCAATTAACTTGTTTGGGGTGTTTTTAACAACTGAACAAGGGGTTTAAAAATAATAAGGGGAGAATTCAAGGACAAATGGCAGACATCTTTCTCTGCACTCAGCAGTCTGTAGTTATCTTTCTGAAATCAGGAATTTAATTGGATGGAAGGTGGGAAGAGAATTCAAAGTAACTTGTAAAGCTACTTGGGCAGGTCTGCAGACAAACACCGCTTCCCCCCCCACACCCTTTGGGGAGAAATTCAGCTACTTGGACAATTATGTACTTCACAAGGTGACCACTGAGTAATGAATAAGGTAAACTGAAGCTATTTTGGGGAAGGGAGGGAATGTGATCTATTGCTGATAGCTGAGGACTGAGAGCTAAGTTTGTATTCTTGGCTCTTCCTCTGCCAGGGGTATGCCTTTAGGGAGTTGTTATTTCCCAAATGGCCTAGCTGTAAAAAAAAAAAAAAAAAAAAAAAAAAAGGGAGAGAAAAATTAGGTCACATATAATTTTATTATGGGACTTTCAGACATGGTGGATGTACTCTCAGCCCTCTTCCTTTCATGTCCCCTTTCCTTTTACTTTGAAGTAGAATACATACTTTGGAAGAGAAGATTTTGATATTATCTGACATAGGAATAACTGATCCAACCACCAAGTCTGTCTTACAGAACTTTGAAAGAATTTCCATGCTTGACTTAGATTGTAAAATCTTTGGAGCAGGGAATCTCTGTCTGTTGTTTGTACAGCCCACGGCAGAATGCGGCTCTGGCCCATGACTGGGACTCCTGGGTGCTTTTGTAATATAAATAATGAATAACAACTGGGGATTTGCAGTTTGCAAGTGTTCCACTATTGCTAGGAAAGAAGCGAGCAGCTCCAAGCCCCTTCTTCCATGCAGCCCTCATCTAAAGCCTCCTGAAGCCTATTCTTGGACTTCAGTGCACTCCAGATCAGGTTATGGACCCTGGACTTCAGAAAAGCAGACTTTGACTCCCTCAGGGAACTGATGGGCAGGATCCCCTAGGAGGCTAATATGAGGGGGAAAGGAGTCCAGAGAGCTGGCTGTATTTTAAAGAAGCCTTGTTGAGGACGCAGGAACAAACCATCCCAATGTGTAGAAAGAATAGTAAATATGGCAGGCAACCAGCTTGGCTTAACAGTGAAATCCTTGATGATCTTCAACACAAAAAAGAAGCTTCCAAGAAGTGGAAGATTGGACAAATGACCAGGGAAAAGTATAAAAATATTGCTCAGGCGTGCAAGAGTGAAATCAGGAAGGCCAAATCACACTTGGAGTTGCAGTTAGCAAGAGATGTTAAGAGTAACGAGAAGGGTTTCTTCAGGTGTGTTAGCAACAAGAAGAAAGTGAAAGAAAGTGTGGGCCCCTTACTGAATGAGGAGGCAACCTAGTGACAGAGGATGTGGACAAAGCAATGCTTTTTTTGCCTCTGTCTTCACGAAGAAGGTCAGCTTCCAGACTACTGCACTGGGCAGCACAGGATGGGGAGGAGGTGACCAGCCCTCTGTGGAGAAAGAAGTGTTCAGGACTATTTAGAAAAACTGGACAAGCACAGGTCCGTGGGGCCGGATGCGCTGCATCCAAGAGTGCTAAAGGAGTTGGTGGATGTGATTGCAGAGCCATTGGCAATTATCTTTGAAAACTCATGGCGATCGGCGGAGGTCCTGGACGACTGGAGAAAGGCTAATGTAGTGCCCATCTTTAAAAAAGGGAAGGAGGAGGATCCGGGGAACTACAGGCCAGTCAGCCTCACCTCAAAGTCCCTGGAAAAATCATGGAGCAGGTCCTCAAGGAATCAATTCTGAAGCACTTAGAGGAGAGGAAAGTGATCAGAAACAGTCAGCATGGATTCACCAAGGGCAAGTCATGCCTGACTAATCTAATTGCCTTCTATGACAAGATAACTGGCTCTGTAGATGAGGGGAAAGTGGTGGACATGTTATTCCTTGACTTTAGCAAGGCTTTTGGCACGGTCTCCCACAGTGTTCTTGCCAGCCAGTTAAAGAAGTATGGGCTGGATGAATCGACTATAAGGTGGATAGAAAGCTGGCAAGATCGTTGGACTCTACGGGTAGTGATCAACAGTTCAATGTCTAGTTTGCAGCCAGTATCAAGTGGAGTGCCCCAGGGGTCGGTCCTGGGGCTGGTTTTGTTGAACATCTTCATTAATGATCTGAATAATGGGATGGATTGCACCATCAGCAAGTTTGTGGATGACACTAAGCTGGGGAGAAAGGTAGATACGCTGGAGGGTAGGGCTACAGTGACCTAGAGAAATTGGAGGATTGGGGCAGAAAAAATCTGATGAGGTTGGGGCAGAAGATTGGGGCAGAAGAAATCTGATGACAAGGACAAGTGCAGAGTCCTGCACTTAGGACAGAAGAATCCCATGCACTGCTACAGGCTGGGAATCGACTGGCTAAGCGGCAGTTCTGCAGTAAAAGACCAGGGGATTACAGTGGATGAGAAGCTGGATATGAGTCAACAGTGTGCCCTTGTTGCCAAGAAGACTAACAGCATGAACCATGACGTCCATCATTTCATGATCACTTTCACCCAAATTACCTTCTACCTTCAGATTCACAACCCATTCTTCCCTGTTAGGCAGAATCAAGTCTAAAATGGCTGTCTCCCCGCTTACTTCCTCCACTTTCTGAAACAGAAAGTGTTCCCCAATGTATTCCAAGAAATTATTGGAAATTTTATGTTTTGCCTTATTACTTTTCCAAAAGATGCCTCAGTAATTAAAGTTCCTTGTAACTACCAGGTCATTTGTTTTTGATATTTTTGTTGTTTGTTTTAGAAATGCCTCATCCACCTCCTCTTCCTGATTTGATGTAGACCCTTACCATAACGTCACCCCTAACATCCGCATTTTATCTTTACCCAGAGGTTTTCAACTAGTCTGCCTCTCAGCTCCTTCTGGACCTCAAAACAAGTATACATATTCTTGTTGTATAATGCAACCCCTCCTCCCTTTATTCCCTGCCTGTCTTTCTTAAAAAAGCTATCCTGCTCTATTCCAATATTTGAGTCACCCCAAAATTTATCCCTCTAAGTCTCTGTGAAGCTAATTAAGTCATATTTTAGTTTAGGCCCAGCCCCTGGCCCTGGCTGTTTCATGCAGGGAAAGAGGACATCCCATCATCCTCCCTCCCCCTGCAGCCCAGCCAAATCTAGCAGCTGAGCCCAGCGCAGGGTAGGAGCCACTGGCCACGGCATCCCCACCCCCACAGTGATTTACCTCTTCACTGGGGAGACACATGTGACTGCTCTTGTGGCTTCCCTTTGCTTTCCTATCAGAAAGTCATTTTTCTATGGGGAAGCAAAGAAATCTGTGGGGGACATGAATTCTGTGGGCGTGCAGTGGCGCAGAATTTCCCCGGGAGTAATATACATTTTTATTTTGCTGTATGTATAAAATGTCTTTTCCCATGGACTACCTTTTTAAATTTACCCTCTCTGAGTAGGAGGCGGAAGAAACTTGCTTTTGTTTGCTCAGATGATTTTATTTGGGATTTTGTACATTTCCATTTAATATACATTTCCATTTATAAGTAGCGAGTGACATTAAAGCGGTTACATTTCTGGACATGAACATGAGATGTTATACCAGGATATACTCTCTGCATTGGCATCATTTCTCCAATGGTTTGCCCCTTGTTGATCCGACCTCTGTATTTAACAGGCCTGATATAGAACATCTGGACACAGAAACCTTGAGAGGAGGAGGAGAGGGGGGAAAAAGATTTAGGAAGGATAAAGGAAACATCAAACTTTGATCATCATCTGATCTCCTTGGTTGATTTTACTCTGACAATTTTCTGATTATCTTCCAATCTTGTACTGTCATTGGTGTTAGCACTGCTGGGAGCACTAGTGCAGTCCAGCTAACAGTATTCATGAAGTTGGTGTTATTAGACTGGTGTCTTTGGGAGGTCAGGGGAGGAATTTTTTTCTTACGGAACCAAACTATCATGTATTTCAAGCTCCTTTTTATTTTCATCTTTTTTTCCTTCACTTTAGGCCCTCATTTTTGTTCCTTTGTCTAAGTGGGTGGAGAGCTAGAGGGGAAAAGGAGTGTGTTGCTGGTGCTTTTGTTGGAGAATTTGGCCTGCCTTGTGTTTGAGTTAGAGTTGTACCTGTATTCAAATATAGGACCAGATAGTTTTGAGTGAAACGTTGACATTGGCCTACTTTACACAGTTATGATTTGCTTACCGTCTAAGTTTGTTTAGATTGTGCTTCTACCGTAGCTCTCCAATTGGTTAAGAACAGAAGGTAATCTTGTTTAATGACAAATCTTTATTAAATATTTAAATATTAGTGTATGGGAGCTCAGTTACCTGATCCACGAAGTTGGACACCATTATCAATGACACTGCTCCCTCCATGGGGGTTAATTCGTCTCTCAATCGTGCCAGTGAAAGGAGCATACACTGTTGAGCCATCTCTGCATATAACATCCACCCCTAGGTGCTTTCTTCGACCGTCCTTTCTGCAAATGTGTAAGTAATGAGACAATGCTGACTTACATGTTCATTAGCCCTAAAGCCTCACACGAGATACACCAGGTAGATTTAAAGCAACACAGGGGGGTATGGCTACCATTGGTAGCTTAGTTGTGTTTCAAATTTTTGTATTTCTGCAATGGAAGAAGGGTTTGAGGGTTCAGTCCAGTTATAATAATTGCAAATCTCTCTCAACTGTTACCAGAGCAAGTCAAAAATATATTATATTTTCCATAAAACTTATTGAAGAAAATAAAATCTTCACTTTTATACTTTTTTAGTGTTTTGGGGGTATACCAGGGTTTCAAAAAAACAAAAAGTAACAACCTACCCACCCCCAACATAGATATTTCCTTTGTTTAAAATGAAAAAAAAACTTCACATTTTGAGGTTTTTGATATTTGTGAAAACAGAAAAATTCCTTGAACAAAAGGAAAATTTCTCAAGAAGATCTGAGAGGAAAAAAAGCCTTTAATCATTGAGATTAAAAAATAGCAAATTAGTGAATTTGATAGAACTGTTCAAAACATTTCCATCTACTCTTAATATCTCCAGTTAGTTTGATGGTGCTGCAGACTCATTTACAAGGCTCAAAAGAACACTGGACCTTCCACTAGTGTAAATCAGCAGAACTGCAATGACTTCACTGCTGCTATGCTGACTTACACAGGTTGAGCACCTGACCTATTTGTTCGGAACTGAGGTCACTCAAGTGTGTGGCAGTGAGACCATTTCAATGTCATTTCTAAACTAGTTCTGTCCCACCCGTGTCTAGAACAACAAATTGAACAGCCTCAGAGAGCTGCATGTGAAATCTGGTGGTCTGAGTCCAGTTCCTAGTGGGCAAATGTCCTGTCCCTATCACAAAAATCCTTAGAAACAACATTAAAGTAACTAAGGACCCATCCATGAGGGCCAAGGACTGAATGGGTCATGGAGACTACTCTCTCCTTATTCTCAGAGTGATTTTGTCACGTGAGGGATTAATGCACGCTGGAAGGATTGTTGTCCTGGTTCTTCTTTAGTGAACTGCTCTTCAGTGGTGTCATTCTGACAGACTTCAGAAGCCCTGAGTGCTTTAAATGATGGTTAAACTCAGAAGTTTTGGTTCTTGGTGAACATCTCATTATTTTAGCAACAACAACGAACAAACAAAACACTCGTTCCACACACAGAAAAAGTGCTCTCGGTATACTACCTTGGAGCTGCATAATATCCACAGCCATATCCATCACAGCCCCTTGCTTTGTTCATAGGATTCCCGGCACATATCTGTCCCCATGGTCCTGCAGCAACTTAAGAAGAAATGGAATATACAAAATTGAAGCTTTTTTGCCTTGTACAAAACATAATGTTACATATTAAATGTTTGGTACGCAACTAATAGATTTAAAATAGGAGGACACTGAACTTTCTTTAGTAATATGCGTTATCATGTGTCACTTTCGAATAGACATTGGTTGTGTGAGTGCCACAGATGAATGGCTCTTTATTTCTTTAAGTTAGTGTGAACAGAGTGGTGTTCTTTCTTCTTTTAAATAGAATACACAGTACAGAAGAGAAGATCTTGATATTTTTGACACAGGAATAATTGATCCAAGCCAAGTTTTTCTTTCAGAACTCTGAAAGGATTCCCATACTTGACTTAGATTGTAAACTCTTTGGAGCATAGGCTCTTTTTTGTGTGTGCATTTGTACACCACCTGGCCAATGACTGGAGCACGTAGGTGATACTGCAATAGGAATAACAAATAATAACTTAGGCTAAGAATCGAATAGCCGAAAACAGCAAGAGCACCCTTTTCAGCCAGCTCCCTGAACCAAGAAACCTTTCTCCAATTTTTTGCAAGGGTCAGCCACTGCACTTTCTGATACTCCTTTAGGCTCGCTCTCTGTCTCTCATATTCCCAGTTTTGCTCCATACCACACACCAGCCCAAAACAGTACTCAGCCAAAAGCTCCCCGGCAGTTTTGCATACTCCTTTCATCCTAGGTGGCAGATTTATGCCCAACAAGGTTCCACCCAGCTCATAACAATACTTCATTCTAGATTTGCTGCATTTATTTTTATGGACCTGTAGCGGGGCGAGACTCACCACTGCGGTGCCTCCTGCTGGTCGTCCAGGGAATTAGCTCTTCACCAGCACTGGAGTGCCCTCTGCATGCCAGTGTCTCCCCTGCCACTGGCCCCGTGTCCCTCCTGGACCCCGGTGCCTTTTCCCCTGGGGTTCTGCCCCAGCAGGACCCCCACTCTGGGTTTCCCCTCCCAGAGGAACCCCCAACCCTCTAAACCCACCTTGCCTCAGTGGCTACTGCCAGTCATCAGCTAGCTCCCATTCACTGGGGCAGACTGCACTGCAATGGCCACTTATCACAGGCCAGGGGGTAGGACCTGCTGTCTTTGCCTATCCTCAGGCTGCCCCTCTGCAGCCTAAGTGCTTCTGTAGGCTTTCACCAAGGCCTGCAGCCTGTGGGTTTATCAGGCTGGAGCTCCCCAGCTCTCTTTGCCCTTCCCCAGAGCTGCTCTGCTCAGGCACCCTGTTCCCAGGCAGCTCACCTTTCCCACTCCAAGGCTAGAATGGGACTCCTCAGCTTCTGGCCCACTGCCCTCTTATAAGGGCTAGCTGGGCCCAAAATGAGCTGTCCACAGCTGTGGCTGCTTCCCCACAGCTTCTCCCAGCGGTTCTCACTCCATTTCCCAGCTGCAGCCCTCTCCAAGGCTGCTTTTCACCCCTGTTCTGTGGGAGTAGGGCAGCTGCCCTACTTGAGGACCCTTTGTAGAATAATGTATTTGTCAATGTGAGTATAGGTAGCAGAATCCATCCCTTGGCAATTTAATATAGAAACAAACCTACAGAAATATTCTAGGATGATGCCTCTTCAACCATGCTATTACTATCTGCAGTCGAGGGAAAAGGTAATAATATCAGATACTCACCACAAGACATTAATCATGTACGCCACCTCCATAATGAGTTCACCTAGTAATCACATAGCTGATGTATGGGAAAGAATAACATGCCTTTCTCTACACACAGGAGAGTATAGCTCTATGGTTTCACACAGTAGTTTAATAGTATTTTTAAATCCTCTACAATTATTCAGAGAATCCAGTTGAACTCCCAAGAGAATTTTTGTTTCCTGATACAGTGATTGCATAGAGAGATACTGTAGGTATAGCTGTTGTCAGATAATATAGATATGTAAGCGGTTCAATAGCTTGGTTAAAGAAAACACATGTTTACTGTTAGCAGTTGTGGGAAGGCTTTGAAAAATGGTCTGCTTGATTGGAAATACTGGGCTTGAGATGTGGTTTAATTGGGGGTGGGATGGTGTGGGGGAATGGACCTAAGAGGTAACTGATAACATAGGAGGAAAAGACCTTGGAAAAGGCCCCAGTTATCCGGAATGGTTCTAACAGTAAAGGAGGATTGTGCCTAATGAACCAGTAATGACTCCAAACAGGCCAAAACCTGGTTATTATGACATCACTTGAGTCAATATGACATCAGTTGTTTGCTGCATTGTATAAAAGAACCAGACTTGCTAAGGGTATTTCTCAGATCCTTCATGCTGAATCAAGCCAGGTTGCAAGGGTTATCCCGAGACTGATCCATTTGTGAGTATTCTGATCAAATGCTTATGGAGTGTATTATTGTATGGATGTAACTGCTTATTGCTTCAGCTTTTAGACATATTTAGAGCAATTGCAAAAAGACAATTTGGCCTTTAAATTTAACAAAGGAATTTATGGTTAAATGGGTGTTGTGGTGTTGTCCTGCATAAACAATTCTATCGAACGGCTATACAGAAGTGGATACACATACCAAAACACTAGTGAAGAAGGGATGTGAGAAATATGTTTTGAGATACTAGTGGTTCCATAAAGGCCTTCACAATGAATATAGAGTAAATGTTGAGATAAAAAGTGTGTCTCTCTCTCAAACCTGTTTCCTTCCACAGGACTTGATCACTTGGAGGAAAGGCCCTTTATATAGTAGTAACTGAAAAATATGTAAATATAATCACATCCAACAAACTTACATTGAATGACAGCAATTCACTTAAAAAGAGAGAACATTTCTTCCTCCATGGTTCTGGTCCTTTGATTGAAGGATCACAGATAGAGAAACAGTCTAAAATGGTCTAAACCTTTTGATCTTTGTCATTATTTAAAACCATTTCAAGGTTTTTGGGAGAAGCCCCAAATTGCTGATGGAGTTAATATACTGTTACCTGTCTATAGTCTCTCTTATGCAATGGACATAGATTAATACTATCAATATTTTACTGTAATCTTTATCAATAACTTTTATGGATTTTACTATTAAAGTATTTATACAAAATTAAGATGTGATTTTTCAAAAGCACAAGTGGCAGTTAAGACCAGATCTACTCCTATTTCCTTAAGAGGTGTTTTTTTTTTTTTTGTAGCAAAAAATGCTAGTTTAAAATCAGCAATATTATGAAATTATTTTGACTTACCAGATGAAATCAAGGTAGCTACAATGATTGCTCTGACTATGAGCATCTTCGTCTGTGTCACCAGAGTTGTGGTTTCAAGTGAAGGGTCTAAAATACTTTGCTTTCTATTTATGCATTCCAAAAGAGGTTGTGTCTAAGTTCCCAGCCAATCAAACATTACTGGAGAAATTTAAGAGGAATCCGTTCTCTTGGTTGAGAACTTAATCTGTAAAGCCAAATACCAGCCGGAACAGAACCTTCTCTTGGGGGCGTCCCGGCAGGGCAGATAATAAATATTGTGGAAACACCTAACCCTTTGGCAAAAGTAATTATGTGGTTTTGGAGACTGCAGTGCAATTAGCTTGTCTGGGGTATTTTTAACAACAATGGGTTTAAAAATAGAAAAGGGGAGAATTCAAGGACAAATTGCAGATATCTTTTTCTGCATTCCTCATAAGTCTGTAGCTAAATTCCTGATTTCAGAAAGATAATTGAGTGGAAGGTGGGAAGGAAATCCCAGGTAATCTGTAAAGCTACTTAGGCAGGCCTGAAGACAAACACACACCTCAGTTTTGGGAAGGAAATCCGCTAGTTGGACAATTATGTACTTCACAAGGTGACCACTGAGTAATCAACCTTATTTTGGAAAAGTTGTGGGCAAATAGAACCTTATTAGTGTTCCAGGAAATGTTCTTCCTTGTCTCAACAGAAAATGGGACACTTCCTGCTCAGTTACATAAGTCTATTTCATTATACATCCTAGATATGATACACCTTCGGAGTTAACATCAGGAAAAGCCACAGAGTTACAGTCTGGAGCATGGCTGAATGTAAAAACAGGAAACCCTCTAATAATGTAGTGAAACCAAATTACATGAAATTCAAGAAATGGAGAATGCTGAAGCATGAATAAGGCAAACAGAAGTTATATTGGGGAAGGGGGGAATGTGATCTATTGCTGGTATCCAGAGGCTGAGAGTTAAATTTATAGTCTTGGCTCTTGCTCTGCCAGGTGTATGTCTTTAGGGAGTCATTACTTCCCATACGGCTGAGCTGTAAAATAAAAATGAAAAAATAGGTTACATATAATTTTATTATGAGATGTTCAGACCCGGTGGATGTACTCTTGACCCTCTTCCTTTCATTCCCCCTCTCTTTCCTTTCATAGTATCAAACTTCCTTCTGAAAAGCAATTGCCTATCCAACCTTGTTGACAAAACCTTAAGAGGAGGTTTAGATACAGGGGACTCAAACACAAATCCTTGTCCTCATAAAACTGGAGGGGGTTAGAATGAAATTAAATAGAACAATGGAAAGAAATAGTGTTAGTTTGTTTCAGAGTAGCAGCCGGGTTAGTCTGTATCCGCAAAAAGAAAAGGAGGACTTGTGGCACCTTAGAGATGAACAAATTTATTTGAGCATAAGCTTTCGTGAGCTACCGCTCACTTCATCGGATGCATGTAGTGGAAAATACAGTGGGGAGATTTTATATACACAGAGAACATGAAACATTCTTCTATACTTAGTGTCAACAAGGAAAAAAGAAGGGAAGAAAAGGGGAAAAAGCCAAGAAACCTGGAATGTTGAGAGATAATTTCCAATTTTATGAAAAACTGGATACTTTAAGAAAAGGGGCAATAGGATATGAAAGCATTGAGTGCTAAATAAAAAGGCAATTTTTTTCGCAAAAAAGGTTTTTAAGGAAAATTTTTGGCCATTTCTACTCTCAAGGCATGATTTAGTGCCAGGAATTCATATGTTGCAAAGGCTGATCCTTTTGAAAGTCCAAATACACAGACCACAAAGTATTTCAAACCATTAATAAATAAGATTGGGTGAATTACCTTTCCTTATAAAACAGAATGAATATTTTGTTCTTTTTTGTGAAGTTACTAAAAATCCTTTTCAAATCTTATTTTATTAACCTCAATCATTGCACTTACGTAGCAAACAACAGTGGCGCGTTCGAGGTCCCCCGCATCTATGGTTAGTGTATGAACCAGAACAATAATTGCTCCTATACTGACATATCCCTCTGTGGTTTAAACACTCTCGATCGTAGAACAGAAACCACAGGTGCTCATCCATTTTACCTAAGAAATAATAGAGTTTTTAAAAATCTCATTAGAAATTGATACTATCATTTATTTTAGTAACCACAATCATAGTGACACTGCCATTAATCACTGGCACAAACTCATGGAAATGGCTAGTAAGGTCCCTCTGTCAAGGAAAGATTTTCTCCAGGACTGTTGGTTATCCTGACTCCCTTAGTTATTATCTAGCCAAGCTATGTATATTCTTTAATCTTTCCTCAAAAGCCAATCTTTTGATCCTCTTAATCATTTTATTACCACTTCAGTTTGCTGGCACTTTATTGGTATTGACTGCTCACAGCAGTATATGGAAATCTGGACGTGGTCTCAGTACCATACAGTAGTGGGGCAGATGAATGCATAGTGCCTTGCTAGAACAGAGGTCCCATCCATATGCCTCCAGAGGAGGGCACACCATTCCCTGCCCT